TAAGAAAAGTTGCTGTTATTAAAGAACCATTTTGGAAACCAAAGTGCCTGTTTCAGCAGTCAGGCCTTGGGCCTTTAGGGCAGTCAGTGAAGTTCTGCATGAGTGCAGGTGCACGTGTGATTATGTATTTAAAATGGTCCAGGAGTACTTAAAAACAACAATACTCCAAAGTGGAGGTTACTTTCTCCTGAATAATGGCTACCAAACAGTTTGCTGATTCTTCTACCCTAACCTTCATATAGTACCTGTATATCAGAGCAGTCTGGATCAAAGGAACGTTTATCAGTATGTTATTTCCAATAGTAATATTAATAATAGATGTTTTGTTTCTTTCCCTCATATGCTTTACCCTTCAGAGCTTGTTTTCTTTGCAGTGTTTTTTCCCTGTAGTCATGAGGGAATTTCACATATTTGTTGAGAATCTGACATAATATCATCAGTTCGGTGGCTAGGGCATTAAAAACAAGTAACACGAGACTTGTGATCCTGAGAACTGGTAACACTGCTTTTGTGATTTAGGAAGATTTTTTTAAATGGAGCATTTATATGCTTATATGTGTAACCATTACATGACACACACCATAGTTAGCAACAGCTTTGGTATATCATGGCTCAGGTTCCCATGCACTCCTGACAGTATGTATATTCATGAGATTCATGACATTTTCCTGCATCTGCTCTTATAACAGATTTCACTTCAAAGCAGCATTTCATTGATGTAGAACACTGGCGCATTTTACGTATAATTGCTTCTCATCTGCTTGTACGATTATTTTGTGACACCTAGTGGATGTATTGATAGAAGTGCCAATTTGAATTTCCTTGTTTTTTTAGATTGTCTCAGTATAAGTTCTGGCCTAGAAACTCAATTCACGTTACCAAGACATAGACTCTCTTTTCTTTCCTCTTTTCTGTTTTCTCTTTCCTCTTTCCTGTTTTCTCCTTTCTCCTCCTTTCTCCTTCCTTTCTCCTCCCCTCTCCTCTTTCAATTTTTTCTTTTTTCTCTTTTTTCTCTTTTTTCTCTTTTTTCTCTTCTCTCTTCTTTGTTCTTTTCTCCTTTTCTTTTCTTTTTCTTTCTTTTCCTTTTCTTTTCTTCTCCTTTTTTTTTTTTTGTCACTAACTTTGCTCATGGAATAACTTTGTCATGACCGAGTGAACAAATACCCAAACCCAGTTCTGAGGAAATTGCATGAGACCCAGAAAAATTTCCAGCAGTAAGTATTGATATTGTTTGGTCAGAATCCCTACGTGCACAGTTGTGTGATCGTTGAACATCAACAACTTCTTCTGTATCAAGTTTTCTGTGGTGTGCTTCAAACATGCAATTCCCCAAAGCCTTGGGTATATGCTACGTACAGTTATAAAAGGTTAGAAAGAAGTACCTCAACTTATTACCATATGAAGACTCTTAGAGAGAAATACCAATTTTTTACTATGCTTAGAGACTGAAGTTTGATGAATAATTAAAATATTCTGTAAACACAGGAATGTTTTTAGAATATTTACACCACGAAACACAGTCTGGAAATGCCTTAAATGCATGACCTACTTTCACAGCTAAGATATATCCTGAGAAGTATGTCTTAATTTACATGTCATGGATTCTGTGCCTGAAGCTTATTTCAGAGTTATGTCTCCAACAGGAAAATGTTGAAATACTGTCCAGCGTATTTGCTAGAAGTGCTCTGAGATAGAAAAGTGCGTATTTTTATGTGACTGTGTTTGATGTTGATAGAGGGAGGGGGGATTGATTATTTCGATTGCCCCAAGTCTGCTTGCTGAGTTGCTGTGATGATACTGTTAGTGTGCATGTTTCTAACTTCACGGAAGATACAGAACGCTCTTTGCCCAACAGATTGTAAATTCTGAAATCTTCCAGTATCCCAGAGCAGATGCAGAAACAGTAGCTTACATGAAAGCTAGGATGAGATTTTAGTAGTTTTTAAAAAAGAGATAAAAGGAAGTTTACAGTACATTAATTTGGAGATTAGAGGTTCTGTATTTTCCATATTTGGGGAACTGAAATGGAATTGTGCAGAAGACATGAAGAAATTGATTGTAAAGACCATTTTCCAGATTTTAGGTTTCAACTTGCCACTCTTCAGAGAAAACATATGTTTCATATTTCCACTCCAAGAGTGGTTCCAAATCAGGAAACGTAATACTAAGCTGTCTCTTTAAAACTAACTGATACAGCATTCTTTTTCTGTCCTCTTCATCACTGCTCCTCTTAACAGTTCTCTTGTGACCTCCGTTTATGTAAAATCAGAGCCTTTAGCAACGGCATCACGAATAATGGGCACACAGAATCGAACGCATAATTGAACGCTGGCAAAGATCTGCCTGCTCTCTGCCACCTGAAGCCTTGTTTTAAGTCCCATTAATGAATGTTTAACTAGCAACAGCTTCAGTCTCAAGTAAAAAGACTTACACTGGAGTAAATCTACAGAGAGCTCCAGTCACCTGCAAAAACAAAAGGTTGTGCAAAGGGGGCTGAAAAGAGGCAGTGCCGTGCGCCTGGGCATCTGAGCTCCTTGCCTTTAGCTCACGAAGAGCACTCGTAGTGCAAACGAGAGCCATATTAGTGTCACAGCACAGGTTGCCCCGGAGTGCTGAATGCCATGTGCATCTTCAGCTCTTCAGCTCACACGTGCAAGCGTTCCCCCCCGGGCACTCAACCTCCTTTGTGCTTGAGCTGGAGCCACCCCTAGAGGTGATGGTCACGTGGGCCACGACCAGTCAGCACACCTGATCCCATGGCTGTAACCCAGCATGCGAGTATTATTGCAGGTCGGTGCAGGCGGTGAAATCGGGCCCTTGCAGCGAACAGCAATTTTTCAGTTGTACCCCATCACTTTTTTAAATCTTGTTTTATGTAAACCTGATCTGGGTCTTGGTCTAGGCTCCATGTTGGATGGCCAGATAGCTTGGTAATCTCATGAATCTGTGCAGTGTACACATAAGCATTCTTTGTGGTGTCTTATTCTTTGTTGTGTTCACAGCATATGGAGTACTTGAATGGAAAATAACCAATTAGGACAGAGAGAGAATAATCATAACAAAAGCACGTGTGTATCCTTTTTTAATCACAATACAATTTGAGACATTATCAAAGAGTGGTTACGTCGTAACAAAGCTGTTATTGTGCATAGAGATCATCTGGTGCATAGAGATCATCTGCTGGTGACCAAAGGAAAACAATAACTGAAAGGAAAAAGGGCTCTCAATTAGCAGTGTTATTACTAGTAAATTTGTTGAGGTCCCGAAGAATTGCATACGTGAAGCACATAGTGCCCAATTCAGATTCCCAGAGGAAGTCAGAGGACTGTCAGGGTGAACCAAGCCCACTGGCTTGAGGCAAAATTCAGTCCAGACCTCAGAAGACTGTTCTGAACTGGAAGTGAATTTTCAACTTGTAACAGTATTTTAAAACAAACATACCACACAGGTTGGTGATTTAGTGCTGGTTTTTCACATAACGTTCCCCACAATTTGGAATATTGCGGGTCTAGAGTGATTGTTACAAGTGGAGCAGCATGTGAAGGATGGACTCTGCTTAACTGCTGCAACACAAAGCCTATTCTTTGTATCAGCACCCAAGTAGCTTTATCCGGTTTGCGCTGGTGGTCACTGTAAGTGTGCGCTGATGTAAATACCGATCTTAGAATTTGATGCTAAATCCATCTGATGCTGGGTTATCCACCCCCTTGGTCTAATGCTGGGTCCCAGACTACTAATTTCCTCGCTTTACTGCTTTTGTCAGTTGCTTGGTGTCACTAAGGAGCTAAAATTTAAAATGAAAGTGTTACGGGGCAAAGGGCAGAAGCCATTTTTCTACCAACTGGAATTATTAGTGCAGCTGCGTTTCTGTAAAATGAGTTTTAGTTGCACTTTGAGCATTAGGACACGTTCTGCCTAATGTTCCCTCTTGGTGCTTAATTAAGTTAGAAGTTGCATAGTTACATGGTTTATTGCATGTCTTTTTAAAAGGAAAACAGTTTCAAAACACTAAAGTACTTTCCACTGTGAAAATTCACTTTTCCTGAAAAGAAAGCTGTGGGTGGAGATCAGGGATGGTGTTTTTTAACAGGAGATCAGACTAACATTGTTCTAACAATCACTTGTGACCCTGGTCAGTGTTATTTTCCTAGTTTTATATCAACTGGAATAGATAAAATTTCCTGCCTCTCGTATCGCCTAGGTTGTGGGGTGATGCTGAATGAATTGCGTATGTCTAAAAAAGCCAGGATTTGTCTGACTTAAAGGTCCCATAGGTTATCTAAGATTCTCTGTGTAGTTCAGGTTTCTTCCAGCAAAAAAATTGCTTTAAAACTTTCCTCAAAGAATTGTTTGTGGAATGGCTGAATGTCTAGCTAAATACATCAGAAGACTGTGATCCTGAAGCTTCTCTGCATTACTGATTCTGCCCAGTTGCAATTTTAATTTTCATGGGGCTTGAGGGGGAGTGGAAAAGATATGACATTATGAAATCAAAGATATGGGGGCTCAATTTAAGCATCTGGTGGGTTTTTTGAGGGTGTTAAGCAAATCCAGGTGATGTCAGCTGAACTGTGCGAGTTTAGCCCTTCCAAAAATCAGGTCCTACGTTCAGCATCCTAAAATCAGTGCATATTTTTCGGAAAACAGGAGTCATTAATATTTCATTTTTGTGTCATCTACATGCATACAATCTGCATAGAACACGGAGATAAATTATCAATGTTGAGGAGATGCTCATTGTAAGAAAAGCGTTACCTGCACCCTTTATTCTTCACTCTTCTCTGACAAGAGAAAATAAAACGGGCACGTTTTCTTTGCTCTTTTCTGAACACGAAACAGTCCCTAATTTGTCACAGCTTCATCTGCTTGTGCTGCAGGCGCTCATCTCCCAGATAACTCTGTCCTCGCTTTATTTGCTTTACACACCGGAACATACCGACAGCACCTGCAACGTTTGTTTTTCCTAAGACAGACCTCCCTTGCCCCTGACAGCTTTGCAGTCTCTTTACAGGTCTCGTCTTCCCTGGATGCTGGCCTCCCCCTGCTTTCCGAGCGGGATGATGCGATGTTCGTCGTTCCTGCCAGGGAGAGCTCGGGAAGGCGGCGCAGCAGGAGTTACTTGGCTGCGGCTCCTCGCAGCCGTACGGCGCTTCGCAGCCATCTTAGCTGTGGGCAGAAAGCCCGTCAGGACTCGCACCACGCGTCAGCTGATCAGTAAGTAGACCTAAAGATTACGCTGGAGAAACATTGAGGATAAATATTTCAGTCACATAAAAGAAATAGCTCATAATAAAACAAACCGTCTGGCCTTCTGTACGAGGTTTATTTTTAAAAAAATCCTTAAGTAGTTATTTACTGAAGCATAAAAATGCAACGTACACAGGAGCCAGTGATCAGTCTAATTATTTGATGAATTTCTCTTTTTGTGGAGGCTTTGAGGGATTCGGAGTGTTTTCCTCGTTCTATTGAATACTAGCATTTATGAGTTTATAACGTTCAGAGTATTACCTAAGCAAAACTCAAAAATTAACGCAATAGAAAAAATTAATGTCACTGTAGGTACTGCAGTTTGCATGAGCAGGAGACATAGTCCAACGTTCAATAAGGTGTTTTAATGGAAAACTGTCTTTTTCCTGCTGCGTTCCATCTGTTTAACAGTCAAGGCCTTTTACAGCAATGAGGCTATGAAATGCCTAACATACTCGTATAAAACTTGTTGGTGATGGCGCAGCACGTCTTTGATATAAACCTGGCACCGGCTCCTTGTCTGTAGTAAGTCAGATCTCTGTACACCCATTCACAGGTTAAAGGAGCTGTCATCAGTCATGTCACCTTCTTGGATACCATCGTTAACCTTTAACTGACTTTAACATGGCTCCGCATAAGAGTAAGGAACCTCCTGTGCAGGTCCAGGCTGGTGGTCAAGCTGTGGTATGTGAGATGAAATTATTTAAGTGTAATGTATTTGCATAACTTATAATGTTTGCCTTTTTTTTTCCATACCTACCATGTTCAGGATTTTAGGACCAGCAAGGTGTCCTACATACAGAAATTGTAGCAGAGCTCAGAGACATTTAGCCCCGGAGTTGAGGCCCATTTCTTAACTGCTCCCTTTTCCCACATATTTTCAAACGATTCAATAAGGACAATGATTTCAATGAATACATAACATTATCTGTTAAATAGAAACGTGATACCGTACTTAGAACGTTTTGTGTAATTATGAAAGCGGACAAAGGTGAGCAGTGACTGTTTAAGCTGTACTCACTTCTGGTATATCTCCACGTTTGTTTATCAGAACTTCACTGAAAATCATTTCGGTTATTTATGTTTACTTGGAAAAAATTACATAACTGGTTTTAATAGAATTTCTGCTCCATGCAAATAATAGGTTGCTCCTAAATTCTCTTCTGATGGATGAATTTGCTTAGGATTCAGAAATGTTACCTTTGACTTCTGTGGCTTGTACTTTGTGCTGTATTGAACCATCAGAACTTTCTTCAAAGCCTCTGAAGCCAAATGAAAATGTGTTGTTGATTTCAATAGTAGCTGAATTGCTCCCCAAGCAACGGAGTATTTTCTTCGTAAAAGAGTTCTCCTGATGACTTTGAGGAAAGTGTTTCTGAGCAAAACTGTGAATAGGGTTCGTAGACACCAGAATGACAGGCCTGTGCTTTCTAGCACCAAATAAACTCATTTATGAACAAACGTTGTGCCCAGAGCTGATTATTGATTTGGACGTTTGTGAAAAGATAGCAATGCTAAATTTGATGTCCTGATTATAAGCTGGCTACACTAACGCCTTGTTGTACATATTTAAAAGTTAGTGTACAGAGGCTAATGTACTTCTGTGGCCGGCAGAGAAAAAGAAAGACTTGTACAGAGAACTATTTAGAGCAAGAGCCTAACTGAAGCGAATTAAAAAAGAAAAAAGCCTCTCCACTGACTATAGAGGGCAGCTGTGGAGATTTGGTTCTGTGAATAACTCCTAGTGTCCTACATTACAGTGAAGTTGCACGCTTGGTGAAGAGCTGTCATTCGCCGTTTTTGAAGTAGCTGCATTTCACTGATGGGTGAATCTCTGTATACATCATATTTTGCGGGGACTCTCAGAATCTGTGTTTGCGGAATACCTTTTACTTCTTGGAGGATGGAAGCTAAATGAAGGCAGTGTGTCATTTTTATTATATTTATTTTAAAACATATTTGAGGGTAGTATTGCCCTACATGGATCCCAGGAAACTGAATCACTCCTTCCACCAAATGGCTTCTATCTGAAAGCTTTAAAAAAGCTGCCTGCCGTGGTAGTGCTCTGTTGCAACCCTGTCCTGAAGGGACAATGTGACAGTTTAATTTCTGGTGTGGGCCTGCTGGATTCAAGAGAAAGCTTCCCTTGGCCTCAGTGTCCACCACTGCCGAACCGCAGCGTTTACTCCACAGCCACCCCATCAGCTAATGTTTGTGACTTTTACAATAGCGAATAAATAGCCTGTAGGAGCAGAATGGTGACTGCACACTGCTGTAGAAGCACAGAAGATACTCATTATATGGAGTCATGTTAGAAACTGCTGCTCTGACCTGCATCCAAACCCTTCACCTTGCTGTGGAGTATCCTCACCATGTTGTTAGGCTCTCGAGGCATCTGTTTGCCCGGTGTAAGCATACGTTCTGCACTTCCTCGAGCACGCGCTTGCGGCATTCACCTTCCTCCGGGAAAGCCCGCTGAGCTTTCGCGTTCGTAAATCAGTTTGAGTTCTTGGGTGGAAGGGGCTCTAAAATTGCAGATCACTGTTAGTATGTTGTCCCAGAGTCGGCTAATTGTTAAGGCTTTGAATTATATAACAACCCTACTTCAAAACTGTCATCTTTCCTATTACATCATAGAAATAGCAGAGTTGGCTCTGTGCCTTTTTAGAAGTGACTGCTGAGGTATTTATTAACATTGGTTCCAAGACATTTTTCACTGAGCAGTGAGAGCTGGAATAAGGAAATGTCATATTTTTCCTAGTATTAAACAGTTGTTAAACTAGAAACATAACTCTTGCCAGATAGTTATTTTATGTGCATGTCTCTTCTTGATAGAAAGAAAATGAACATGCATTTTTCTTTCATTAAGTATTTTACAGATCATCTAGTCAATTAAAATAAGTTTATGAGCAGCTTGTGAGGGTAGAAAAATAATGAATTTGAAGTGTTGGATAAAGCACGTTTTTTTCCATTTTGGTCTGCTAATGAATACTTCAAACTCCTAGTACCCAAAATATAGTAACAGATTTTATAGAAAATAGTACTCCACAAGTTTATAACACCAAACAAATAATCATCTCAGCATCTTTACGAACTAACAAATCACTCCTATTTCTGTGGGAAAACATATGTTAAGGCAATATTATGTCAGAATTTTACATATAGAAAAGGGTCTTTAACACCGTTATCAAATGTTTGATTATATTTACTGGAAAATGAGTGAATCCTAAGAGTGAAAAAAATTGAACTTTTGAAATGTTTTTTAAAAACTTACCCTTTTTTCAAAGAAGTGTGAGTATTTTCCTGTCTTCCAGATAGCATTGCACCCAAAAGTGAAAGTAAAGTCAAGAGATGCATTCACAGTCCTCTTCTAAAGACAGGCAATTTAAATAATTAGAACGTATTCAAACGTTCCCCGAAGTTTGCCATTGTTTGGATCTGCAGTTTCACTTTGCTCTGTCGGAGTCAGTAGGATCAACCCTAAGCGTGGGATCTTCACTTGAAATTTCCAGGGGTTGGAGGTGTTTGGGTCTGCCAGGTAGTCCAGGCTTTTCACTGGTGTGAGGTGAACACATCCTTTTTAATTCCAGATTGGTCCTTTGAACTGTTTGCGGTGGATCATCCTCATAAAGAGCCACTACACCGAAAGGTTATGTTGTTTTTATTCTTCCACTACAAAGCAAGCACTTACACAGAAGTCTCTCTTTGAAGTAAATCACACAATACACAGCTTTCCTCCAATTATGTTATGTAATGCTGTTTTCTGTTTATTTAAGCATAGGGTTTATTTTTAAACTGAGGGCACTTTCTGTGAGGTGACTGCACGATACACAGGTACCCACCCAGCATTGCGAAAATCCACCAACTTCGGCGCAGAATTTTAGCCAAAGCTCCCAGTACAAATTCTAGGCTCCAAGAAAAAAAAACACTGAGGTCTCCGACTGCACACTTTCTTAAAAAGATACTTGTTTTTAAACATTTTATCTAAAAAAACAGAGGTAAAGTAAAATGTATGTAGGATAGGGGTTTTTCAGAGGATTATTGGGAGAATGATTGACCTTGCCGAAAAGCTGGCACTCAGGAAAGGCGGATATTTTAAATCTCTAATATCTAGAGAAAATCTTCATGCTTTCTGCTGCAGAGCTTTCCACATGGCTTTCTTTGCTAGTGGTTAGCGTGCAGCTTCTGCTACCAGCTTTTACCAGTTTACAGTAACAAGATGTTCAAATCTCTCATGCTACTCTTTTCATTTAGTATGTAAAGATTACTTTAATGAATTTCCTTTTCCTACAAGGCCTTTACAAGCGGATTGACGTTAACAAGATGTGAAATCTGGGTTTGTTCAGTGTTTCCTCCGATGCGAGGGTCTCAAAAGGGGCAGAGTTGCACCCGAGTTGCTGCTTTGGGTAGCAAATGTGCACCACGTACAGCTCCCAGCAATCAGTAACCTCTTTTTATATGTGGTCTCAGTTCCCTACAGTGAAATGATCTTTGAAGTTGACAGTGTAACATTGCCTTTTATAGATTAACACGTTGCTGTCTAATTTGTCTAGGCACCTGCATGCTCCTTTCTTCTCTGGCTCTTTAAAAGCGTGTTTGTTCCTTGAAGGTGAAGTAGCTACTACCGCTGCCTGTCTGCAGTGCTCTTAACCATTTAAGTCAATCTAAAGAAACACCTTTTCTTTTTTTTGTCACTCTACTTCCCCTCTTGCCTGTGTCTTTCAGATTGGGGTTGCCCCACTGGCCGCGGTATGAGTGAGTGAGAAAGCTAATGATGTTCATGCTTCTTTAGGAGAAAATGTGCAGAGAAGCTGCTCTCTGCTTTTTTGGGTGCTCTCGCTCACCTCATAATTGTTTTTGTATGCAGTGAAATGGAATTGATATGCACGTGCCATTTGTCTTGCTCCTCTGTCTTTAGCTCCCTGTATTGATTATGCTGAAAGCAGTGGAAGATCACTGCAGTTGAAATGTGAACTACTGTCTTTGGGGTGAGGTTTAGTTTCTTGTGAAGCATTGTTTTAGTTTTTAGTTTTAGTTTTAGTGGGTGTGGGCTGATGTATGTGATCATTCATTCTTGTATTTAGATTCCTGTAACCAAAAATACCAAGAGAAATTCAAGCTAATTAAAGTAGGGTATTTGCTTTAAAACTTTGCTTATTTATTGATGCAGTGCTTATATTACACTTGAGACTGGTATCACAGTTATTTCCACTTGTTTGGGTTTTCACTGAAGGAGGAGTGTTGTGTTCCATCAAACAAGGTGGTGGTAGGGAATAACAACCCCCTCCGACTCCAGCCTAGGTGTGAGATTAGGAATAAATTATTCTGCAGTGGCAATTACGCTAGTTGTACTAACCAAAAACTATGTAGTATCATAAGGTGTGTTTAGTTTGGCCATTAATTCAGAGCTGGGTTGCTGTCCTTTGGGGGGTAGCATATTGTTTAAGTAAGCCGTAAAACCTCCTCACAGCCTTGACAAATTTTTCCTTCCGTTTTATGGATTTACCCATGCAGAACTTGAGAAGGTCAGAGAAACTCAGCTGCTGCCTCTTAGGATAGCAGAGGGATTTCTAGAAGCATGTTAAAGAATCCCTGTAAATCAGCATCAGCTCTCTAAATCTTAGTAATGCCTTTTTTAAGGGACAAAATTGGCTTGATAAGATGCAGTCATGTCACAACTGGAA